ATTAGGATACCTGTATATCGTACACATTCCGTAAATTTGGAAATTTCTCGTAAATATATAAATATCTATATTCCAATATTAATCACATCAAATCATGCGTAATTTACAGAAAAGCTTCGCATCACCACTATTATCTATTGCAAGAGTTAATAATAATGTCCGTACGTTCATTCGCTTGAAACGCAGAATCCTTCGTGTGCTTACGAACTATCGTACGCGTGCGCTACTCTATACACGCTAAAACGGGCTGTGTGATGAATCAACACCAGTTCGTCTGCAAACCGGCACAAACACGGCCTAGTTAACCTTTACACCCAGCAGAGTGGTGTTTTAGCTTTTGCCGGCGTGTCATCACAGCGATGAAACAGTGCCAAGATAATCGCGGGTTAACTCTTCGAACGTCTCAAACCCAACAGCGTGTGCCATTTCTGAATTTACGTTGATCTCATTTCATTTTCTTCCCAGCCACAGCCTTCCTTCTACAGCGTGTTAAAAAAATATTGGCTTATAAGATCGATTCCAACCAATGTAATCAAAAATTAACGCTAGAACTGTCAACCTCTAATCTGTACTTGCATCAGGAAGACTTTAATAAGTACTTAATCTGTACTTGTTAAACTTACATGCATAGAAGGTTGTAGATAAGATATAATAAAGATAAATAAATATACAGCAACTCGCGAAGGCATTCTAATTCTGTGACACTGTAATGAAACCCAACTACCAAGATCATATTGGTAAAGTTCGAAACTTAAGGTAGAAGCTACGAGATATTTAGTGCAAGTATAGGTGCGTATATTTGGTGGAGATCGCAAACACATTCAAATAGTTAATTATTCGTTACATTAGACGATGTTCATTGTCAGTAACACTAATTTCTTTACACTTATTATATGTTTAAGATGGCTGTTCGTGCTATATATTAGTTTCTTTTACTAAATGTTTGTATTAAATGTTTGTATTAAATAAATTCTGTTTTCGGGTTAATATCGTTATTGGTAAATATTCGCAAAACAGTGTACATAATACAACACCCTATATATTGGCAATAAGAGAATTGGAGGGGATTATGTAGGTCGTTGCAGGTGAAACGAACTCATTGAACTCATTGACGTTTTGTAGAATTGTGAAGAAACCAATCGTTGAAGCATATTCGAATATGCTATGCTTGCTCTCGTCGCGTTATATTTCCTTCGTTCGAGAGCTATTTTTTCGATCCTAGTAGCTCGAGCTTTATTTATCCCTACCTGGCCTCGTTCAAAGATGATCGACATCGTGTTGCTAATTACATTTTAACTTGTTTGATTTGATCTTTTATTCGGTTAATTCCGTCAAGAGGCTTTTATACAGAAGGAATTAACGAGCGTTGTTTGAAAATAGTATCGAAACAAAGGATTTCGAAATCGGGTTGTATGAAAACGCAATTTGTGAGATTTAAAGTATAATTCTAGAAGGGTGGTGAAATAAATTTATGCTTATGTTCTATCTCTTTAATTGTGTTTATAAAAACATAAATTTCCATAAATACCCGCAGCCCATTTATTGAGTTATATGTAGAATGTGTATGTATTTGTTTGTATTTATACAAAAGAACATTCAATTTGAAATTCTACAGAACAGACACACGAGATATTTCTTTCAGATATTCGAGAAACATTTCACAAGGCTCGTGAATGCAAAGGGATTAACGACGCTAAATATAGAATATATTATACCTTTAAAAGCATAGTTTATTAATTTTTCTATTATATTAGATAACATTCAGTTATAAATAATGTAAAATATATATACACGAGATTCTCGTCCAAAGAGTCGTATAAACGACAACGTATTAGCAGATATCTCATTTGCGAATACAAAGGAGGTCAAGAAGTAAGAATCATTTTACGATCTTCAGACTCAGAACTATACTTAAAACGAATATTATAGAAGTACCTGGAAACTTGGACACATTGAGCTAATATTATTAGCGAAATTTTCTAACTCGCGAGTTGTAAGTCGTCTGTGTTAATAAATTTTTTTGAGTAACAGTAAAAGTTTGGTAATAAAATTAGTCAAGCTCTGCAGAATTATACAGTTGAAAAAATTACGTACGATAGAAGTTTTCGTGATTTAAACCGAGTCTCTAGTTTTCTCAAGATTCACTCATATAATTAATTGTATAGTATATTATTGTGCAAATCCCAATATCTTGGAGATATTAATGAACTATCCTTAAACAGCCCGTAAACTCCATCGACACACAGATCACAACAAGTAGCCGTAGATGCATTGCAACCATCACCATAGTAATGAATTTATAATAACTGAATTGTATGTTCAACGATTAAAGATTTTATCTACAAATTCCAATATGTCGAGAATATCGATAAACTTTCAAACTCTGTCTATCAATAATGAAAAGAATAACCCTACAACAACGTTCTATTATCCTAACGAGCACACAGACAGCATCGAGAAGCCGTAGGCCATTGTCAACCATCAATTGAATCGATCAACTCGAACCGTTTCCCCATGTATCGCAAACGAGCCCGTCTCCTAGCTGTAACGGATCGTGACTAGGCCAACAGAGCCCCTTTTGTCGATCGAAGCAGCTGTTAACCATTCCCTTAAGTGGTAGGGACATGAATTCGTATCAGAGGGACCAATGGTCGTTTCTCATTAACGCGCTACCGTGGCCTAGTCGTTGAGAATCGGCGAAAAAATGTCATTATCGTGTTCGGTGTCTCGTGAAACGGACACGAATCGGTGTCTCGTTACGCCTTTCCTCGGAAGTTCGACGCTCGAAAGGATCCTCGAGGGCGTCCTTTCAGGCCAGCTATCCTTAATTAATCTGGAAATCGAATCGGGAAGGAAGAGGAACCTGTGAATTCTCGGCCGATAGGTCGAAGTCGGTATACTTCGGCTAGTGGATGGTTTGAGAGTTGGAAGGGGATGATCGAGCTACCGGAAATCCCTCCTGGCGGGATTTGGATTTCCCGTTTCGACTGTTTACCGCCTGCTAAATCGTTCCTCCCCTTTTGCCATCTCTAATCGCTTTTATCCCGGCGAACCTGTTATCGAGGAGGGCCGCGATCCTGACGATGCAAGGTAATTCATTGGTGAAGACCCGTGTTACCGGAAATGAAAACTGGCGGAGAAAGAACAATATGTACATTGAAAATTGAAATTCTGTAGGATAGGTGGGATAGTGTATCAATTTTTTTTCTTTTTGCGAAAATATGCCTTCTATTAGTTTTTTGAAATGAGAAAGACCGATGCTTCACATTGATTAAAACAGCGACGTGCTGTGAGAAGCCCGGCACGGTTTTAGAAGAAGCTGTCTTACGTGGATCTTATGTATAGTAGTTTATCTGATGGTTACGTAGTTAATATGTAATAATAATGAGTTTAATAGATTTTTAAAGAGTAACAATCACGGGTCCTGATAGTTTATACATCGTATGGAGTTAATAACGAAAAGTTTGAAGAAGAAGTGGTAAAGATGGAAGAAGAAGGTTCTGGAAGAAGTGGATAATTTTCGTAAGAATTTCGGTAACAATTTTTATAGAAAACGTCAAATTTTTATGAAATATTTTGTGGAAAGAGATGGGAAGTAAGGAAAGGAAAATAAATTTTTAAAGGATTTGGTGACAATCTTAATGGAATAGTCGGTGTAGTGTCGGATATTTCAGAAAATTATTAAGAAAAGGGAAGAAAGGTAGAGAACATTATTTCTGAGAGGGGAAAGTAATATTTTAAGAGTTTAGATGACAGTTTTAATGGAAGACTTGATATAGTATCAAATATGTTTAAGAATGACTAAAAAAAGGGAGAAAAAGGAAGAAATGAAATTTTTAAGGAAAAAATAATGTATTAGGGAATCGTGTGGCAATTTTAAAGAAAAATAATGAAAGACAGAGTATTTATTTTAGATGATAGTATCTACTGAAAGGGTAAAGCTAAAGGAATAAAAAGTGACAGAAGGAGAAGATAACAGTATTTTTTAATGCAATGAACGTCATAATGTGGCTATGACCGCGAGATTATGATATGAGTACGAAAATTATAATTGGAAGACTTTTAAGCATTAGTGAGTCTAGCGCGAATTTACGATTGTGTTAAGTGATAAGATTATGAAACTTAACAGGAACTGTATTTTATACGTACGCAATCGTAGTATAAGGTGCAGATAACGGACCCATGTAACACCTGGAGGTGTATTTAAGCACTTATGTAAAATATTGAGTAAATTAACGTTATGTAAGGGTTCTAAGGGTTCGGATTATGATTCGAGGAAGAGATAGGGAGGTTTATGGGAATAGCCAAACCTAGTAATCGATATAATTTATGGTTTACGTTACAATACCGCATAACACCGCTTTTTACTATGTTCAATTGCGTTGTTTCTCTTCATGTGTCCCTCACATTCTCTACTTTAGCAGTTAGCTAGAAATATGAAAGTCGTATATCTGTGAATGAAGAAAATACTTAATTTGAACTAATACTAGATTTATCAATTTTATTATAATGCTTTTGTAGTTATTAGAAATGGGATGCCGTTTTTGACGAGACAATGTTATCTTTTATTGAAAACATAATTAATACCTATTTATATATATACCTATCCATTTTGTTCATAACTCCACTTTCATAATCCTTTGTGTATTGTATATTAAAGTATATGCATATATACACGCTACAGTACACTCTTGCACAATAATTTATCAATTAATATATTATTAAATTGACGAATTGTAAGTTATTTAAATTATAGAATTCCCTTTCGCAATTTTATATCAAACAGGACAATAAGATGATCCGTGATTTATAAAATTTCAGTAATACAATAGTATTAGTACAATTGTGCGATAGCGTCCAAAAATATAAAAATTTTTTAAACCTAAGTTAAAATAACATTAATATGTGGAATATTAAAAAATTTTAATGTCAAATGGCAATCTTACCTGATTCTCAAATTCTAAAAGGGAAGGTTTTAAAGTAAAAGAACATGAACAAAATTCTGCCTGATGTTCCTCTTTATTGTTTGAAATGTCATAACGATCAGATATGGATCATGTAAAATTACAGTAAAACGTAAATATGACGAATTCATCATCGTGTATACATATACGTATATGTATATATATAATATATTTATGTATGTATATATAAATTCTTGTACGCCACCAAAAAGGATGCGTCGAGAGATCCAAGAGAAAAAAAAGAACAGTTCAATTATCCCGAACGCCATAAACGTGAATCACCCTATACTTCAACCGCCAATCGATTCAAATTTATGCCTTTTGTCGTTCGATACCAATCACTCTCTCGCTTTATTTTTTAATATTCGTAAAACGAATCACACGTCGCGTGATTGTGATATCACTTCATCCTCATCGAGATCCTAATGAATTCTCCTGCTTACTTTCACCGTGTTTACCCCGACCCACCCTCTCTTTTTTTTTAATTACACACCGTCATAAATCTAATTCACAATCATACACTATGTACAATGTCGCGTCTTGCGTAAACGACTCGCTGTTTCAATTAAATTATATTGCTATAGAGCTTTTTCATCTTCGCTTTCCATCTCCTCTACATGACCATCGATATACTTGAATCATATACTTCACGTACTTTATCCATCCTATGCATTTATTCACACGTATATTAACATATTACATGCGTGTACGTAAAATTCCTTCGTGGAATTATTTTTAACAAGAGTCTTTTCTGCATGAGCAACGAAATTTCATGGTGGCAGTGAAGAAAAAATTCGTTTCGAGGCTAATTTTCGCCTAACAAACGAATTCAAAAAGCCTAGCAACAGTAATTTTGTCTCTTCTTCTTTTTGTAAGATTTTCTCTTTGTCAGTGAAAAGTTAAGAAAAAAGTTTTGCCCGCGAATGTGACCGAAAAAACGTCTAATGCGAGCAATTTTCTGTGATACGATAAATTTCACAGTGATAGCGAAGAATTAAAAAAAAGTTATTTTCCTGACTAATATCGGCCTAAAATTTAAAAAGGCTAATGAAATCTAATTTTTTTTAGTCTTCAGTTGCATTGAAAAATTAAGGAAATTTTTTAAAAATTGCTCGCACGAAATATCAACGAGAGCTTCCGCAGGAGAAACGAAATCACACACTAGCAGTGAAGAAAAGTTGGATCTTTTGGCTTCTTTCGATATTTGAGAGGCAACAAACTTGGGCATATTCGATTGATAGTCGTGAATATGTTTTATGTAAATAAAATATTCGAGAACCGATTATTTCATAATTTTTCAAATACGTATTATTAAAATATAATTAGATATAAAATTACTCTGGATGCAAATCTTGTTATATATCTTGTTATATAACAATCTAGTTGTACCACATAAGTTTCAAACACATGCCATTTAAAATTCAATTTTATATTAAAATCCAAATTGTTTATACTTTTGTTTGAAAGAATTGACTAAAACATAAAATATACAATTATCGAATTTTGACACAAAATAGTTCTTATGTTACTTTTAAACATTTAATTAATTCCAAAATAAAACTAATAAAGCATCTAAAACGATACAATATTTTTATTTATATTTCAATCAGAGTATACCCAAACCTGTAAAGCAACATTACCGAACAAAGTGATCCCAGAACGATCGAACGAGCTCCAGTGGCGATTTCCAACTGGTCGTAGGTTAAACATAAGAAAGTGCTAATATACCGTGATTAAACGATCGCAGTAAGAAACAGCAGGTCATGACGAACAGGGATGGAAGGTTTACGATGCATCCGGATCTAGGCGGTTCTTGCGCCAGTCGTTGATTGCTGGCGGCCAACGTTGCGGTTTCCGTTCTCTCAAGCGCCCTCGCGTCCATGATCCCTGGCAAAGTGGACTGACAGCTGAGATTCAAAGTTCCTCCAGGGAAATGGTGTCGTTCCAGGCGTAGAGTCAGCCCTAGTCGCGTCGAGGATACGATGTTATCCTCTGAGGAGGCTGAGCTTGGCAATTCTCTGGTCAACACTTTGTTCACCTGTTGATGACAGAGGGTGATAGTGAGAGTGAGATGGTAGTGAGATGATCCTTGTCTTTCGAGGTGAAATTTCATGCAAGAGTGGAGAGATGAATGGCGAGTATACTAGAGAACTCTGCACTAAATTTTCTGGTTAATGGAGGAACGTTAAGATAACGTATTTGGATGACTGGAGAAATTTGATCAATTAGGGGATGCATGGATTTAATGGATTATTAATGCGCAGTTTAAACACGAGCCATTTTAAATGTTAAAGTGAATTTAAATTGATAGGAATTAATTAATAAGAACCATTGATACACATTAATAGATAAAATTAAGCTGGATATGGTTATCATAATTTCAACAGGATGATTAATTGTTTAAAAATATCGTTGAATAATTCTCTATCAGAATGTTATAATGCAGGGAAAAGAAATGAATATTTAGAATGCAAGTTTTTAAGCATTTATGGGAAATTTGAAGACGTAAAAATGCATAGAATGCGCATAATATAAAAAAGAATATAAAATATCCAAAGTAGAGTGTTTGTCATAATTCTTAGTAGATAAAACAAATTTCTATCTAAGTCCTGTTTCTTTAGTTGCGTGCATACAAATATCAATTTTCATAAAAATCCGCCTTCTATTAATGACAGTTCTTAAAACACCATCGCAATACGCAAGACGTTAACCGACCATCCAACTGAACTGACTTTCTTGGTTGATGGTCGAGGCAAATTTAATAGGGCAGCTTTCCGTCTGTTATTTTTTTTAAAACGAAAACAGCAGCTGAATGCACAGTAAGCAACTTTAAAAGTATGCTCGAGTCTAAACTGACGGTTTTAATTTCTCCATGCCCCACCACGACGAACTTTTTAAGGGGCCTGAATAAAGGGGCGCGGTCGCGAGAACACTAAACGAGCACCTTTTAAGCGGTTCCCATGATTTTATATCCTTCGCTAGCGTTGAATTTGCAATTCAAAGGCATCGCGCGTTCTCTTAATTTCCAGGACTTTTTATTCTCAATCCTCACCCCATTCCAGTTCAACGCTCGTTGTTTTACGTTGTTACGTTTACGACACCGTCAATTTCGAGAGATCATTCCAACTGGGAAAGTTTCTATGTTTGCAAGTTTCTACGCCTCAATCAAAATCTATCAATTTTTTTGATCAATTTAATCGTGTTTCTGATCACTTAGCAATATTACAGATTGATGTACAATATTATCGGATTATAGACGTCTATGAAAATTAATGTTTTTATGTAAATCGATATATTTATTTTATTCTAATATTCTAAAGTATCCTTTTATGTATACATATATATGTATTTTTTTGTTTTATTACATAATAACTGTTTATATACTTGTCACACCCACTAAATATTTTATATAGTTTTATGTACATTGTATCTAGTCCTGACACTTTTGCATTTTGAAATTTCTCAGAAATGTTTGAGCATCCGGAGTCGAGTTGTTATTCCCGATTTAAAATAAGTAAAAATTCGTGAAACGATTGTTCAATCCTTAATTCAAAAATAATTCAGTATCGTTTCTGTATATCGCCTCTCAATTAAAAGAATTCAATATTCATCATTGTTTTCAATTAAAATAATTCCACTTGAATAAATACTATTTCCATTTTTATACAAAAAATTCTCCAATTAAGAAAAAACAAATTAAATATCCATGCATACCCATTACCTGTATTTTTTCTAAAAATTGATCCTTCAATACGTAATATTACCATTTATTTTCTATATTTAGATATTATTTCTTTTCTTGTTCTTCATATGATAAATCTTGCGAGATTAGAGTTAAAATAGCCTTTAAACAAAATTTTTCGATCCAGGTATCTTAATTCCATTTAAGAAAGCTACATTGGCATTGAAATCTGTTTAAATGAGAATATGAAAGAAAAATCAAAATATCTTGTTAAGTTTCCTCTATCAAATCGAACTTTCATCCGAAACATGTTTATTTTTAGTACTTACAAAAATACTTAATCAAACATTTAAAACAAACGTACTTTAGAAAACCCGTTCGTTTAATGGCTAGAAAATCTTTTGAAAAAGGAGAATGCAATTAGGACAGTTCTAATATTGAAACAAGCAATGTGAAACATCGACCAACTCGATACAAGAACGATTCTTTAAAACAAAGTGGGACGGAATCATATTTATCGTCACAGACGATCGTTTATCAAGGAAACGATAAACATTGAGATCAGAGAATCGCCTGAGAGCACCTTTCTTCGTATATCTGGTCTAGGCGATACATTAGGATAGACTGCACCGTATTTCACATTGGATATCGCGCGATCAAACGGACCGCACGTACCTCGCGCTGTTTTACAGATAATAAATGTTTATACACGACATGCAGTGTGTTAAATCGCTAGAAACAGGGCAAGTGCTCGTTCATAACAGTGTCAAGAAAATTCAGCGGTTCTCAGCGGGTTAAATCGAGCCAAAATTTGTAAGAAGGATGACGACAGCTTGTTCTCAAGGATGCAAATCGACGAGTTTCGTTTGGATGAAGAATCGAAGGTTTAATTATGATCCACGTTGAAAGGTCGAATGCTTAACAATGTGATATTAAGTGAAATAGAGTGGAATCAAAACTTCCAAAACTTTAAATTAAACGAACGAAGAGAAACAAATAAAAATTAATTGAATTATATGGGTGATATTAAATTGTATTATAATTAAATCGATAATTATCCAATTCTTAATATGTCAAGAAATTCAACAGAATCCACTGTTAAAGCGTTGAACTAGATAAACGAACCCACAAGCGAAAAGACACATGAGGGAAAAATCAGAATCGCGGAAGGAAGTTGAGGAAAAAGAAGTTCGCCTCGAGCGAGTCGTTTTTCCAGGCCGACTACAATCAGGAATTCTGAAGTTCACGGATGGCAACGAAATGTCTCTCCAGGCTCTAATACCCGTACATTCTCATAAAACTCTTTCTTTCTCTTACCTCTTTCCCGTTGAGGATAAAGACGAGCTGGGCTGGAGGGTAGCTGGCCGCGGAACTGCATTCCACTTGGAGTGTCTCACCCACTTCGTAAGACGGTCGAAGACCGCGCAGACTGGGTCGTTCCTTTGGCGGGATAGCAACGCTCATGTTTGCCTCGCCGTAGATCGTAAGAAAACTGGGCCCCTCCGAGGACACCTCGCAACCGTACGATCCCATGAGGTTCACCTTACCTGTCGTGTAAATTACTTTGTTACATCGCTGTTCTTTACTTTATTTTATTCGATTAATACATTGGTGACTGGAGCGTCTTCGTACCTTCATCTTGGTCAATTTCGCTGAATTTTTTTCTTATGAATAAATCCTATTCCTCGAAAAGTAAAAGCAACCTTAGAAACTCAAAAAAGTATAACCTACCTCAGTAGCACCAAAATATTTTTTTCGAATATTGGAAAAATATTTTTCGAGCCACTTTTTTGAAAAATATCGAATACAAATATTATATACCTTTACGAATTAAATATTCGTTGGATATAAAAGAAGAGGAATAATTGAGAACCGAAGAGATAATATAGGTAGTTTCTGTTACTAAAGTATTGGATAGAATGACTTTTAATGACTTTTTAAATTTATTTTAAATGACATGAACATTTTTCGGATGTAGATTTCATGACAAAAAATTCCTGTCAATATGGAATCAATAAAACAAGAGTAAAATAATACACATAACGGATAGCGAGGGAAAAACAAAGCTTATAATCCATTCGTGACTGATAATGAATCCAACTGCATTTATATAACACCAATGCAGGAACAATGATTAAAACGTTTAATACAACGTATAATAATCATATGCACAGGTAAAAAGTTTGAATAAATTGTACTCTCTGCTCGTATAGAATGGGTTTATTGATGTCCTACCGATTAACGCGTGTTTAATTAATGAGCTTTTAAATTGAAAAAAATTTGCATTCCCTTATTTCTGTTAAGACCCTAATTCCCTGAATAACAGTTAAAGAGGATATTTAAACGAATAAATCGAATTAATCTGTTGCTTTTTACTGTATCGAATTAACAATACTTCATTACCATGAAAATTAACTTCTTTCTCAAATATTACAATATGTCTTGCTATTGTTCCGACCTACTTATTTTTAACGCAATATGACATTTTATGTGTCCATATGGTATTTCCACAAAGATGGGAAATGCGACAGGATTAATACAAGAATATTAAACAATTACGGAATAATATTGGAATGACGAGCCAGTGTTTTGAAATGGAAAAAGAAACAGAATTATTTTCTCATTTTCTATACCTTCGTTAATCTCGAGATATCAAGTGATTATTATGATAAGGTATTACACTTTCTTTCTATGATATGAAATCAGAAAGAAGTTGTTTTCAAATACTCTATGTCATCTCTTAAAAAATATATATTTCCGCATAATTCATAACTTCAAAAATTTCTTTTACACAGCCTCTCTATCGATCACCCCTACCCAAAACCTTCCTTCACGTCGAATCCATACGAACAATATCTAGATGAAACGAATCACTCCCAACCATTTCTCGACAGCACCAATCTCAAAAAAGCCTTAGCGCAGACAAAATTACCATGCTGTCAGTTTCCTCTTTCACGACTTACAACACGCTCTAATTCCTTTTAAGGAAACGTTCGATCGTTGCCGTTGCCCCATCGACGAGGTTAAACACGAACTCGTGCTTTTTTTGCGAGACTGATTTGAAAAGCATACTTCAGATTTTATTTAGATTTCCAATCGGTGGAACGTGACCCTCGAGGCAGTTACAAAATGTTTTCTGGGAAATCAATATGGTTATTTTGAATTACAATTTTGTTTCGAACGAAATTTCATTAGACAAATTTTCGACAATTAAATCTGGATATAGTTAAATTACAATATTCTGAAAAATCTATTTTTAAGCCTTTAGGTGTTTAATGTGTGCTGAATTAAATATTCGAGAGAGGATGGATCCATAGATTTTTACATTCTATAGCTTGATAAATTACAAAGCAAACAAGATATTATTGTACGAACAGAATCAATTTTCAAATATTTTAAAATAATCTTTTTGTTATAATGAAAGAGCGATAAGAGGGCAATAAAAATACAGGTGAGGCGTGTACAAGTTCAAGTCCTAAAAAACATGTTTTCTGGAGTAGCTTTTATTACTTTAGTGAGTCAGAGAACAAATGGTTAATACAATTTTCTTCGCTCGACTAAATACACCTTTTTCTTAAATTTAAGTAACAAGATTTGCAAAACGTCGGGGAACGTTGTTCTAGAAAAGCATCGTCGACGAACGAAGCTAAATAGAAAAGAATAAGGCATCGCGCCATGGAAATTCATCACAAGATCAGCCTTTTCGATTATAATGAATTAAGAAAGTTACGCAGACTACTTTGAAAGCTCGAATGCAAGCACCTTGAAGATTAGAAACCTAATAGCAGGCGTAAGGATGGTGGAAGAACGTAGATCCTCGTGGACCAGTGAAAAATGGGCGGGAATAGAAATTTAATAGGGGCCAGTTTCATTCGCGACGAGGAAAGTTCGTTGGTTATTTAAGTGAAATTTCAGGCAGCCCGTTAACTTTCATCGCCTGAAGTTTCGTAAGATCTTGCAGAATTACTGTTTCGATTTTAATCTAAAATTGCGAAAAAATCGAGTTTCAAGAAGATTTGTTTCTCCTGTTTCACGTTTGCTTAGACATTACGGAGAAGTATTGCAGTTTGTTATGAGGATAAAAGGAAGGAGATGAATTTTCACTGTTTGAGGGAATGAAGATAGTTAATTGCAAGATTAAGGAATATAATAGTGTAGATTATTTCTTATTATTCGCGTTTCTTACTGTATTTTGGATGAAAAACTTAAATGGACGTAAAGAAATGATGGAAAACGTGAGTTCTAGGTGTCTGAACGGCTAAAGGTAATTAAATGTAAAGCTAGAAATACAAATTCAATAATTTAGCCTGTATGATAAATGGATAAAAGATGATGGGAAAGATGTATGCGAGTTTAATGAGTTGAAAAGTCGGAAGAAAAGATATATTAGGACTGATAATGAAATTCATTAGAGTTGAAGAGAAAAACTCACGATTCTATATTTTACACACTTTTTCTTAAATTTTCCTTGTAAAAGATTTTCATAAAGTTAAATATCTTACAAAAACTACCAAGATCAATTGTTAAAATTTCGCTTGTTTTATCACCAATCTTAATTATTATTATACCAAACAGTTTTTTCAATTTCACTAACAATATTGCTTTAATTCTACAAAAGGATCCAGATAATATCCAAACGCAGGATGCTTCAAACCTCTCAGGAAAACTAAGAATCCGTAGAAACAAATCGCAATAGGGCATCCTACTCTTACCGGCATTGAAATGCGCAAACCAATACAGAACCTGAAACGCGCAACCTCGTCGACATTCAATTCAGCTCGAAACACTCCCCGCAGCAGTTAACAATTTATCAACACTCGGTGCACATTAAACCGCATAATTTCTTGGTAAATTGCGCTGCTTTCGATGCTACAGCTTCACGACCTCTCGCTCGACAAACTCTCGACAGTCGATCGTCGCGCATGATTCACCTGATACACCCCTTTCCTCGAAATCCATCGATCCTCAGATGCTCGTGAATTTCCCCTCAGACTACGATCGCACAAGCAAAAGCCTCGTCGAGTACGCACGAACAATGATCGTTAAATCGAGCAAACGGGACAAATCGCGTTTCTCTACGAACCTCTTCGATTGTTCGCCTGTCCCAACAGCGTCACCTGTTTGCTGTCGCTCTTGTTCACGTCAACGTATATTCCATCAACGGAGAAATTACGGCCAGGAGGTCTCGAGCCTGGCATGAACCTGAAGAACTCAGCCCCGTCCTTGTACCATTTGACAGAATACAAATCCTCACCGCCCAGATCGTACTCGCATTTTAGTATCACCTTCTCCCATCTTGGGTCCGCCATCTTCGGCACATCTAGCCTTAGAAGCTGTATGGAGGCTCCTGGAAAAATAAAAGTTTCGTACACGTTGAGAATTTTTTAAAAAAGCACGGTAGAGATGTTAGATTTCGTAATTGAGAATTTTAAGGTTTCACAGTGTAATTCCCGTAGGACGTGCGTGGAAAGAAGGGAAGGTCCTCAATTCGGAAATTCGAAAAATTATCCGATTTTGAAGATACGCAGAGCGTATGTACAATGGTTACGAAAGGTATGCACCATTGTATTTATTGTAGCATACATAATTAGGTTCAGGTATATTAAATTCCACGTCATTTGGTATTATGTTCATATGTTTATAAAACATTGAGTTATTAATAGTACCTTCGTAAGACCGTAAACAATTAGGCAAATAATAGTAGTTTTATACGACTAGAAATAAATCGATACTGTGAAAATGATATGCAAGATTTGCTAAAATAATGCTTAGTGAATAAGTGTGTGTAGTTTTTGTAGCCATTGCAATTACGTGTTACAGAATTTTCTTTTACTGCTCGAATTCATTCCAAGTGATGATAATTAACTTATGTAAATTCGCCTATTTTTTTATCTTACTTTGTAACTCGTTTTACGACATCAAGCGCCAATAAAGTTTTAACGGATATGCCGATATAAATTTTGAAAGTGAAGAAAAGTGATCGAATGTCTTCTCTTTGGTTCTCTTTAATATGGAGGAGTATTTTATGGGGATAGAAAGGTCGAAAGTTGGTGAAAGAAAGGCAGTAAATTTCAAAGCTCGAGAGTAAAAGAGAAATTGGTTTCCATTGATGTTTGGTTTTCCTTGTGGAACTATGTTTGAGACGAAGAGTATTTCATGGGAGGTGAAGGAAGAGCGGTGAGCTTTTATCGGTATCTTCTACCGGTTTCCTTTAAGGCGAAGAATGTAAATAGGAAAGATAAATCAATGCTTGCGAGTTCGATGATTTTGGAACGTTGGGAATAAAATTTTGCTGCAACGATCCCTTTCTCAGTGAAAATATTATGTATAAGGAAAAAATACTACGCTGTTATCTGCACGTCAAAGAGATTATTATTTTTTAAGTTAAAATTAGTTTGCACTTGCATTAGTTTTGTTTATTACGTGCATTTATTTCGTGTTGTCAATGTGTAACTCAAAGAATTAATAGACATTTAATGTTACCAGAATTAATCCATAAGAAAATTTAGTAGTTTATGTAGCACTCTAATTTATATAATTTTAATTACTTTCGTTCAGCAATATTTTCGTGATTCCACCAATCTCGTATCTTAACCAAAATTTAGTAATTGAAATTCACTCAATTACTAAACTTCATTCAATTCTCTATTAAATTTCGACATTTTGCATCTTGAACTATGCGATTCATATATTTTACTGTCTTGTTCAAATCAGATACTTCAAAATATATACTTCACCTACGCATATGCCAGACATGCACTGAGTGCACGGATATCAAGAGAACAGAACTTCCTTCCAAGAAATGAGAACTTCGTAGAAGTTCCTTCATAGCAGTAGCATGTACTCCTAAGTACTACCAGGATTCTAAACACATTTAGTTTATAACAGGATTTTAACGAAAGTGGTATACTTTAAAGTACCTTCATTACATATAATGAGGTCAAAAGTATTATACAGGCAGAAGATGATCGTTTGTGCAAGAATGAATCAAAAGTATGGAATGAAATTATCTCATTTCAAGCTTCATTTCGGAAAAAATCGTCTTTAAAACGCGTAGAATTAATTCTCAATTAACTTCATATTCTTAGTTTTTAATATCAAATTGGCAGATGAATCGGTATAGCACAATCCTAGCTACAATTGGAAAAACAATTACAAATTTTTGGTAAATGGAGTAAATGCATTAGGCAGACAAAAGATTCACGCAATGGATTTCTCGAAAAAGAAATTTTGTACAAAAGGTTTTCATTTTACGCATTTAACATCCTTTCGCTCGAATAATCGGCGTTATTCTGATTAAGAGATCACCGGGCGGAGCTACAGAGAATATTTAAAGCGTTGAAAAAAGCTAGTTCATTAACGAACGGCTGTGTGAAAGATGTAAATGCGACAGAATTTGTTCAGCTGGCTAGTCGTGTAAACAAACGACAAAAAGTTTACATTGAAAGCAGCTCGCCCCTAGTCGAACTTCGTTTATCGGTTGGCTGAGCGCAGAAAAAAATAGCAATTATCGGCGTAATGAGTGGGTGTTAAAAAAAAAGAAGCACAAAAATCGTGGAACTCCGAATCTCTACAAGGGAATAATTTTCTCTCGTCCTTCGATCGAGTGTTTAACGCGATTGCATTAATTTGTTTATCTCCCTGTTTCGCCGAGCAATCGTAGCGAATAGTCTGGCTAATTAAAAATATCCGATCGACGAGGTTCGTGTAATTATCGTCCTCCAAAAAGCAATCCAACAGGCACCAAAATGGGTGTTGCTTGGAAATGGCGCCACGATATTCCCTTTTGCAGCCGATTGTGCGATTTTAACACGTCGACATTTTTAGAATATCGTTTGCATACGTTTCCCAATTGGAGAAAATGGACGCTTTTTTGATTGCATAACATTCCTTTGACTTGATTTTACCGATATCGGGACTTACTGTACGACAAAATCCCGGTAATTTCTACATTTACATAGTTCATTTGGATTTTGACATTACTCGAGATTTAAAGTTTAACAGAAGTTATTTATTTTTCGGATTGTCCCTATTATATTCGGCTGGTAAGTATTTTTATTAATGACAGTAATTCTCGTAATGGGTGTGTGTGGAGGATAAATAAATGTTGATCATTCTAATGATTTCGTTTTTACGGTTACGAAACTGGACTACCAGGATTTTTAATTGTAGAAATTCCTCTGCAACTCAAGTTGCTGAACTCCAAACTATGGGATAACCCTCTTCAATTTCACGTGAGCCATTTTATCGCCGTCCTCTAGGGACCACCTAGAGAAGAATTCGGCGACCAGTGCCAAAAACGATATTCCTGGAGGCTGTAGCACTCGTTCCGCGTCAAATCGCGAGCCAGCTACGTGCCACTTAAAACAATAACCTAGTCTGTCGTTCACGTCCACACAGAGAGCGGGTGTAAAAAAAAGGAAGAAAAATGAAAAAAAGAGGGGGGGGGGTAGTATGGAACGTGAAAAGTAATTCTGCAGTCGCGACGTGCGGCTAAAACCGTCAAAATGTGCGAGATCGTAAACGATTTCCAGATCGTACGAATTTGTCATGCGTTTGGCACGTGAGCCGAACCGCCAACGGATGCGATAAAACCGCGAGAACAAGCGGAATTACCTCGGCCCATGGTATGGAGGAGGCAATCGCGACGAAACGATTGCGTCAAAGGCGTCAAAGAACTGGTTCCCGGTATTAAGCAGGCGAATGGCCAGACTATTGTTCTTCTGCTTTTTTACTTTGAAAGTAATCGTATTTTACTTGGAATTCTGAAATGATTCTGTAGAAGTTCTCAGTTGGAAGTGTCGTTTTATTTTAAGAGCCCATTCGCATTTGAAAACGTAATTTTTGGATGGATCTTAGAATAAAAATTGATTACACGGTTGTAGGATTAATTTCTTCGAAAGTTTAAATAATATTGGAATTCCTAAGAAGATTGCAGAAGTTGGTGACAAAGCCGCGATTGTTCTATGTAGCAATCGGGGATCGACGATGAACGAAAATAAATATTTTGAATATTTCTCGAAAAAGGAATTACAAATATAGAGAAAGGCTCTTCGTTACTGTAGTTACATTCACCAGGACATATACATAACGTTACACTTTACAGAATTCTGAAAATAAATCATTTTATACTATTTGTCTGTTATATTTCCACAATATATTAAATGAAGTAAATATAGAATATTTTACAAAGAAATTTGTCGAGTTATTTATTTTATATTACTCATCTGTATGGAATATTTCTAATGTATTATTAAAATATTTTGTATTCCCACCAACAGCAATTACATTACATTTTTAAATTTACATTTTATCTACATCTGATTTACATTTGCAATCTAAACTTTATCCACAATTTCAAATTAAAAATATGCTGTCAAAAGAAAAATATGCAGAATTATTTGAAAAAATTTATTCACCGCACGTTCACCTTTCATATACAGATATTGCATTCCCAAATTTTTCGCCGCACACATTTGTTCAGCGGCTTAACCATGGTTGAAATTCATTCGCGCTTTCTGTTTGGCAATACCTCCAGCAATCCGTCAATTAACGGCATAAAGAAGTCGTCCAAAGGCAATAAAATAGCCGTAAAGCCGTGATTGTTCCATGCAGCAATCTCTCCAGTATTTCTGCAGTCTGTTGAATCTCTTATCGTGCGAGAAACTGTGCATTGTTAGAAATCTTTACTCTCTGTTTACGATCCGACGCGAATAGGCTTATAGTTTTATGGGCGAATCGTAAACGCAGAAATTTCTCAAGCATCGTATAACTATTGCTTGAGAAGCAAATTTATTTGCAGAAATTTCAACTTCTGGTCGATATTCTCAATTCTTCGAATCTATTTGTACGATACATTGCAATGTATCTGAGAAATGCGGTGAGTCTAATTTGTGGCAATATTTGTATGAAAGATGTTTTAATTTATAAAATTAGGAGCAATTTATATACGGGAAAAGAACACGACAAACTATTAAAAATTTCGATAGTTAATTATATATGACTAAATTCTATATTATTAAAACTGTTCATTCATTCAGTTTACGCGCAATATTAACGATATTTTCAAATATTTTGTGTAATATGTTCATAGTATATTCATAAAAGTATTCAATGAGTGTTTAAATATTCACAATGAGTGTGTGAGTGTTTTCACATTTTTGTAACAACATGTAAAAGAATTCTTGGAAATATGATTTGTTACTATACTGTGATCACTATCACACATGACCTAAGATTACCGCACAGTACTGTACATCTGTCCTCTATTTAGAACGATGAACTCATAAAAATTTATTGTTAACGCATGATCATAGTACAATGTGTCAATCTAAAAGCATTTACAAA